TTACGCCGCCTGCTACAGCCAAGCAAAAAAAAAAAAACAAAAAAAAAGACAAACGCGTTTTCGTTTGTTTGAGAGTTTTAGTACTGCGTATAGAAGCAAACGCAAGTGCCGTGCGTTTGCGTTAGCCTTGCGTGATCCACTCTGCGCATGCGCGTCGTCGCCATGCGCCAATCCAAGGCCGATGCTCGGGCTCCGCGCGCGCGTGGTTTGGAATACGCAGCGCACGCGCAGATGCACAGGTGCTGGCGTTCGCTCGTATACGCAATAGTTAAACTCACTTTTAACTACCGTCTCCCTTCTTTATGACAGGCCTACAATGGCCATAGGCCTTCCCCCCACAGATTAAACGAGTTACTATTTTTTTTTCGCATACACTTAATCGGATTAAAATCGGTCAAACAACGCAAGCCTCTTCTGGCGAAAAAAAGAAAAACCTGCCTGCGTTGGTGACGGCTGGCACTTTTGCGTCACACTCAAAAGTGACTACGATTTCTCTTACAAAACAACCGAGTTATTTGGAGAGGAACGTCCGCAATGTTGAAAATGAGACATAAATAATCGCAAAAATGAGTGTGTCAGTTGGGACTCGGGTCGCGTTATTAGGCCTCATCGTCGACATCTCGAAGCTGTAGCACAACTGCTCGTTTTAGCCGAATCGAACACATCGAGCGCAGGTCTGACGTAATACGCACAGGCTTTATCGCTGAAAGTAAGAAATATAAAAAAAAAAATTCTCCACCTTTTATTGTCGTTTGTTATTCGAACCGACAATCACCACTTCACAACGCACTATTTACTTACGAGATAAAAAAGAAATATGTATAAAGAAAGGAACAAAATTCACTCGCTCTGCGCATCACTTTGCAATCCCAATTAGGCGCGCACAAAAGATGTGCACGGTCTCTCACACAAAAGGCGCATTCGTAACGGCAAGAACAACAACAACACGCAACAACAACAAAAAACAACAAACACAAACGACGGACACGAGACGCGACGAAAGATAAAAGAGGGAGGCGCTCTTTCGAACACCTCGAACAAAAAACAATGGCATTAGGGACCGGGAACAAGCACGGACCTGTCATAGCTGTCGTCGCTGCCACCAAATCCTGCTCAGTCTAGAAAAAAAATTGAAACAAACAAAAAAAAAAAAAAATAAAGCCACACCAACAGACAAAAGACTAGGCTGCAGGACTGAATTGAGGATCTGTCCTGTCTGTCCATTCGAGTCGACATAAAGTCCCGAGACTTTTGAGTGGCTGCGTTATTTTTTGTTTTGTCATTCTTTGTTCTTGCCGTTTCATTTGATCCTCGTTGAGACAGGAACAATAAACAAAACTAAAGTTCAGCTATTAGCGCCGTCCGAAACAGGCTTGCGCTACCATGCAGTTGAGAACCTAAAAAATAAATAAGTGACCGTGTTATGCAAATTGAGTGCGTGATCGGACCCGAATGCAAGCGACGTGGGAGTGTTTGTGTGCCTGTCGTCTCAATGCCCAGCGTTTTCTCAAGAAAAAAAAAAAAAAGATATATATATATACATATATATATATCGTACGGGGTTCTTCTTTTTAGTCGTCTTCGCGAGATTTCGCTTGGCGCGTTGGGCTTCTCCTGCAAAGAAAGGAGGATTGCGGGTGAAGCTCATCGTCAGGGAGGATCGAGAACTCGCTCACCAGCGGGTCATATGTATTTAATTCGTGTTTGTAATGTACTGAATTTGATCGTGTTATTTTTATATTGCTTTTTTTAGTGAACTGTGTTTCAGAGGCGCGTGTGTTTGCTGTCGTGGACTTGTAAAAAAAGCGTTACAACCTTGGTGCTGGTGTTGATTATGTTTTAATTTATTTTGTCACGTGTGGTGATATCGATTGAGTTTTTTAACACGCTGTAATAGAATTGAATGCTATGCATGTTTTGGACATGATTTCAAAGGCGTTTTTTGCGAGATCACGCATAAATATTAAAGAATTTGAGACATCTCCGCGTTTCCAGCTTTTTGATTGCCCGAGCCTCGATTAACACAGAAGTTTCAAGTTGGTTACTGCTTTAACCTTAGTGTTTATTTATTCCAAAAAAAACATAGTAGCTGCTTGGTGGCTGACATAGGCATGTCGGCCTCCAAGCCAACATGCCTATATACATATATATATATATAGATATAGCAAGCGGGCCGTGGCCGAACAATAAAGAAGAAAACAAGCGACCGTGTCCAAATGGTTGTGGTGCTTGACTCCCACGCAGAAGGGCCGATGTTCGATGCCTGAGAGCGAACGCACCTTTTTGTTATTTGTGTAAATGTCGCGTTCTGTTAAATTCGAGAACCCTGCTGCTTGTTCAAGGACGGAACGTTCTACGCACCGAACCTTTTATGCCGATTGTTCCAGAAGCCCACGCGTGTACATAAGAAACTCCACGTGTCGAGCGGGAGTCGGTCTTTCGCCAGCGCTCGAGACAGCATCCTCGTCCATGCCCTAACCCGCGATGCCTTGTTATTCTTCTCAATTATTCCTCTTTTGTCTGTAGTGGAACAAGTTCGCCCTTAAACTTTAGTTGCTTTAGTTCTTCGCCACCCTATCATCTGTCATTGGTGACAATATTTACGTCGCGAGACACATTTTGGACGAGTAGCGATTCCAAAATTAACTTCTATTTCGAAGTGGACGTCTCAAAATAGAAGTCGGTGTGGGAATCGCGCGAAATCGAAATTGGTCTCACATCTTAAATACTTCGCGAATTTGTTTTTGTGTCTTTCGGACCACGGGGAGAGGGGGGGGGGAGGAGGGAGGGAGGGGGGGGAGGTGTTAGGTGGAAGTGGATTGGACTTTGTGACATAGTGTGTCGTATTCTCATTCAGTTGGACAATCTTTCAGGAAAGATGCTGGAGACTCCGGTAGCTTCAACACAAGATTCGCTCGCTCGATGCCGTAGCCTTAGAGACTGCTTTATTGCTCCGAGCGCTCGCCTGCTATCTGTGAAAGTTGAATTTATGAATGCGTTTGGGACTTCTTATATTGTAATGTCGTCTTTTAAAATACATTTTAAATTTATATTTTTCTGACGCCCCCAGTTCTTTTTTGGGGTTTGTTTTTGCGCAGTTTGTGCGCACACATTAAGGCCTCCGAACTATAAATGAAGGATAATATACCACATTAAACAAATAAAACAAATATTAAATTTTATTTTCTCCCCCGAACTCACAAGTTTTATTGTGCGGAAAGTTCAATAATGAGACGCGTAAAAGAAAAAAAGCAAAAAAAAAAAAAAAACGCTGCTTAAAGATGGATAAATGCTCCAACTCGAAACGGCTTCGTGATCGGAAAACAAAAAAATAAAAATAAATAGGAAAATGCGCGAGCAACCGAAATTACGAACAAATGAAGCAGGAGTGAGCACAAACAAAGAAAGAGTCAATTCGGTCGGTTTATGCAAATAGGGTCATCGAGAGACGGGGCACAAAAAATCCCTCTAAAACTAAAGTTTTTTTTTTCTTTTTTATATATATGTATATATATACTAGCATATAGTCACGCACATATATATAGTCATATATATATACACTTTTTTTTTTGTCTTCAGTGCGGGGCACAACGGGTGGCGGTGGTCCAACTTTCGATTATCTCGCCTCTGTCGTGTTCTTTAATTAAATCTCGGTTTTGCTCGCTTGTTCCGTGAACAATGGCAACCCTCGGTCCCGTGTCCGAGGGGCTTTTGTGTCACCTTCATTTCGTCCCAAATTAAAATGGAAATGACTCCCGGCCACCAACGCGCGAGCTTCCCAGCACTCCGTGATTGTCGGCTCTCGCGCGACACAGTCTCTCCCAAAAAGTTTGCCTTCGCATTCACAGCCTCCTCGGATAGGTTTATATTCAGCCTTCGGAGAGCGGCTTGAGCTGTTTCACTCAAAACCTCATTAAGAACAAATCTCCGGACCTGTGTGTGGAAAGTTTTGGGATGAAGCGAATTTCCAAAGCGAGCTTCTGGAAGTGCTATGGCCAGTGCGATTTTTTGTATGGGGCGTTGCGCCATCTGGCGCCGAGTTCGTTCCAAACTTGATAAGTCGGCTCTGCTGTTTCCACATCGTGTCAGGCAAGTTTGTCGTGCTAGGCAGCTTAACCTAACTTTAAATAAACATGACCTTACCTGACCGGACTTAACCTAACCTATCTTAACCAACCTTAACCTAACGTAAGCTAATGAACATAACCTAGAATAATTAAAGCCGGTGCGCTAGAATCTGGATGTCTTTGCAGTGAGATCGAGTGCAGACTCAGATTGAGTAAGAACGCTGAGTCAGCCTTCGACTGTACTCAATTAGTCTGTCGAAGGACGCTTGGTGTCAGGCTCAGGCCCAACAGATGGCAACAGCCATTGCTCTTTGGACTGGGAACTTGATCGAGTGACTTACCGTTTAATCGATTAATGCTTTAATCGCTATTAATTTTTAACCGGCTATTTAATGAAATTTTGATAAACCAAGAAGCAAGTAAAACTTTAGAGCTTTTACTACGCCGACGTGCACGAGTACACCTGTATGAAGGCAAACTTCAGGTGAACCTTTGACTTAAAATAACAGTAGGGGTCAGGTTTGTAACTCGAAACCAGTGGAGAAGGTTATACGCGTCCAAGGCACCTCAAAACCTTGCGAGAGTCCATTTAACGCAGCAGAGACTATATTGTGAACAATCAAAGGGGTTCGCTATTGCCGGAGAATGTCAACGAACCTCCCTGTCTTCTCTGCGGCTGAAGTTATCACTTGTGAGTGTGGGTATCTTTAGACTGTTCTCAACTGCACATTGATTAAAAATTCGAAATAGTACATTGCCCCGTTTATCCCATATTCAGCAAAGGCAAAAAAAAAAATGTAATTTTGACATGTTTGGAGTAGCTATTATGTATAAAATGAACAAAAGTAATTGATCGATTGAAGGGTGGTGATAAATCGTGTTAAAGATTTTAATCGACGCCCAGTCCTAACTGTATTTTGTTTCTTTTTCTAGGTTGCGGGACGACGGCGGCAGTGTTAGGGACCGGATGTTCTCGTCCTACGATGGAAGCCGACTCAAAGACTCGGCTGCCTTCATCAATGGTAAGACGAGTGACCCTTAAGCCAGTGTCACATTGATCATACTTCATAATAACGATAGTGTGCGAACCCGAATCACCACAATTTCCCGACTTCGAATGCCGCGTGCACAGTTTCCTCCTTCAGCTCATCGCCACGCGGCATTCAAAGCACAGATCTCGCGGCGACTCGCGCTCGAATCTGTATGCAGACTGTCTTTTGTGTGATGTATAAGCAGTGTGACCCCGACTTTAGCCTCACCCAAATATCATTGACACCCTATAAGAAGGCTGCAAAACACTAAAAAGTTTAAGGGATCCGTTTTCGCTAATCCGATATGGTACGGTAGGATCTCCGGTACGAACTGCGCATGCCCCACCGCAGAAGATTCGCATATGCATTGTTCGTATAGCGGATGTCCCATCGTACCGTATCGGATCTGCAAAAACGGTTCCCTAGAACTCTTGATTACCTCCCTGTCGCTTGTCTGTTGAGAGATCGGGAATTTTTGTGACATGTCGGTATTCCGTGTCCATATACGTTTGCCCGCAACCCAGATAGACCCTATTCACCTGCTGCCGTAACCCAAGTGCCGGCTTGCTAGAAACAGTCCTGGCTAAGGTATTAAGACGGACTAGTTGGTTAAGCATTATGAACAGTAATAGCTCGAAAAAAGTGAAAGCCGTTTACAACTCCCTGTAACGCCGAATTGGAGCGCAGCGCTTGAGGAGGAGTAAAGAAGGGTACTGAGGGGAGGGTAGACCCCTCCGCCTTCTCCTCCTCCTCCCCTCATTCTTTAATATGCTCCGGGGGGGGTCACGTGACCTTGAGATGACCTTGGGAGGGGTCCCGTGACCTTGGGGGTCACGTGACCTTGGAATGACCTTGGTTACGCCGACGCCGACGCCGCTCAAGCCGGGAACGGGCCCCTAAGAGCTGCGCTCTAAAACGAAGAAGGAGAACAAACGATGACGGAAATAGCGCTAGTCTCGTTGATCATGATGTAGAAAACTCGAAACTGAGGTAAAAGCAGGGAAACTTGGTCGAACAAAGAAGACAGCTAGGGAAAAGAACGTCTTTCTTTTTCGACCAAGTTTCCCTGCTTTTACCACAGTCTCGGTTTTTCTACGTCATGATCAATATCCACCAGCTCGCCTGCGCACTCACCGTTTTTTCATTGCTAGTCTCGTCTTGGTGTTCTTACTCTGGTATATCCTCCGTGCTATTTATTGTACAGAATTCTTGGCTAAGGCTGTGTGAAAGTATGATTTCCAAGCCTTGGGCGAGTGAGCTTCTGAAACTCGATCTCACTTGCCGCTCCACTCGTGCTCTAGCTTGGCAGGCTTTCTGCCACACATTCTTAGCTAAGACCGTGTTCCTAGCAAGCCCGCTCAGAAACGAGATGAGACGGATCAACACAGTTCTGTACCTATCCGCTCGGTTTTGCTTCCAACGAGTTCATGGCGCAAAGTCACACATAAGCATTTGCATTTGCAACCGCCTGGATAGCCATTCAAAGGGACCTTCAACCAAAGTGACGAGTTGCCGCGCCGGCATACAACTTATACAGTGCCCGACAGGATTAGACCGGCAGGGAGTCCCTTGAGGTGTCCCGCCTCCAGCACGAGCTTAGCACCTTCGATGACGCGTTGTTGTCTGGTGAGGTTCGAGCATGCACGCCCAGTCAAAGCACAATGGAAAGCTACGAGCAAGTGCTGGAGGCGGGGCACCGAAAAGAGACGCCCTGCCATTCTCATCTTGTGAGTGATTGTATACGTACCGGCATTGATTCCCTTTGGGCTCTTGCAAGTTGAAATGGGTTCATGGTTCGCGTAGGTCACTGACACGAAAACTGTCGCTTTAGTTAGCCGAAGAGATGTTTTCTTCGTTTAGAAAACCACGTCATTGTCTAGCTACAGTCGGTTGCAAGAATGAGCCTCCCTAAAGTAGGTCACATCTGCTGCTCACTACATGGCTGAACCTTATCGTTAAATCTTGTTGCGGAAGGCTGTACTGACGCGAGTCTTTGACGACTGTTGTTTTCCTGCGCCAGGTGGTCTGTCTTCGTCGGCATCCAATGGACATGGTCCTCCGGTGCTGAACCTGTCGCAACACGCTCACCGCACGGAAGAGCCTAGGGAATACCAAGATGGCGCCGCCCAGGACGCGGACGACGACACCGAAGACGACACCGACGACAGAGACCAAGGTAAGCGCGCCATTTTGTTCACCAGACCGAGCCACTTTTCGCTGCACACATACGTAGAGAGCCTAAATTCGAGAGAGGGAGCAACTCGAAACGTGGAGGGCGTTTGCAATTTCATGGTGGACACCTCCCGAGCAGATTGGTCTCAAGCACATATCTGTTGCGCTGTCACGTGACGAGAGGGAAAGGGGGCGCAGAGACAGAGACGCTTGCAAATGCTCCACGCTTTCGTCACACTCCCATTATTTTAGTATGTTTAGTTCAATGACTCCAAAAAAAACTAAACAAAAAAGTAAAAGCCGCTTACAACTCCCTGTAACGCCGAATTAGAGCGCAGCTCTTGAGGAGGAGGAGGGAAGGGCGCTGGGGGGGGGGGTTAGACTAACCAGGGGGGGGGGGGGTCACGTGACCTTTGGGGGTCACGTGACCTTGGGGGTCACGTGACCCCCAATGCCGATGATGTCATCACTGGCGTCACTGATGATGTCATCAGTGACGATGACGATACGGGTACCGATGACGTCATTAGTGACGTCACTGATGACTTCACCAGTGATGATGACGATGACGATGCGAATGTCGGTGACGTCATCACTGACGTCGCTGACGACGTCATTAGTGATGATGACGATGACGATGCGGATGCCGGTGACGACATCAGTGACGTCACTGATGACGTCAACAGTGATGATGACAATGACGATGCGGATGTCGGTAACGTCACCGGCATCCACATCGTCATCGTCATCATCACTGATGACGTCACCGGCATCCACATCGTCATCGTCATCATCACTGATGACGTCACCGGCATCCACATCGTCATCGTCATCATCACTGATGACGTCACCGGCATCCACATCGTCATCGTCATCATCACTGATGACGTCACCGGCATCCACATCGTCATCGTCATCATCACTGATGACGTCACCGGCATCCACATCGTCATCGTCACTGATGACGTCATCATCATTGATGACGTCATCATCACAGATGACGTCACCGGCATCCACATCGTCATCGTCATCATCACTGATGACGTCACCGGCATCCACATCGTCATCGTCATCATCACTGATGACGTCACCGGCATCCGCATCGTCATCGTCATCATCACTGATGATGACGTCATCAGTGATGATGACGATGACGATGTGGATGCCGGTGACGTCATCAGTGTCGATGACGTCATCGGGGGGTCACGCGACATCGGCGGGGGTCACGTGACCTCTAGGAGGGGGTCACGTGACCTCAGGGGAGTCACGTGACTTCGGGGGGTCACGTGACCTCGGGGGGGGGGGGGTCACGTGCCCCCCCACGAAGTCACGTGACCCCGGTGGGGGGCTCGCGCGGTGCATTATGGGACATTTCCCATGATGCACCGCGCGGTTACGCCGACGCCGACGCCGACGCCGACGCCAACGCCGACGCCGACGGCGACGCCGACGCCGCTCAAGCCGGAAACGAGCCCCCAAGAGCTGCGCTCTAAAAACATGCACGCGTACAACTTTATGCAATATAAGAACCGTATGATATTTATTGTATGCATTCTTCTTCATGAAGAAAGCGTAGGTTAGTTTGAATTTTGACCATGGTCCCCTATCGTACTTATTTGTTTCAGATTTGACGCATAAATGACATTGTTTTCTTCCGTCTGTCTTTCAAAACTTTCGAATGAGCGATACAGGATTCAAATTGACGTGGTGCACAAAAGCGCATCAATTTCTCTTAAAGTGTTCATTTCATTTATGAAATATATAATTTAAGTGCATCGCATTTTATAAGTAAAATACGTGCGCGCGATTAGGAAGATTATCTTTAAGAATATATAAAATCGCAAAATTCGTCGATGAAACAGCTTTTTTTTTTCTTCTTCGCATAAGTCTTTCATATGTTATTATAGGATAGGGATCGTATAGGTCCATATATATAAAAATATTGTTTAGTATCAGCATAGGCGCACATCTAGACACCAATGCAAAGTTTGAATCCGCGGTCACACTACTCATACACCATGAAAAGACACCGTGTTTGCTGCAGACACGATGACATTAATTCTGCGGACGCACCTCGAGCATTCTCGAAGCCTATTCGCTCCATACGTGTGTATAATACGAACGTGTCTAAAGATAGTTTTCGTTAAAGAAAAATCGCGATACAAGGAAGAAACATGCCTCAAACAGTGTCCACAGACTGTGTTTTGCAGGATGCCTGATGTATTTTGCATTTTGTTTTTGTACCTTTATCGTATGGTGTCTTTCCGTGTGACAGCGCTACTCATCAAAGATGTCGTATGAAATAGAGAAAAAAACCACACAAATGACACTATGCAGGCACGGTCTCAGGCGTGTTGGTTTTTGTCACATTGGTCATAAAAACAAACTGTCCGCAGCCATCTATGGAGCAGATGAGAAGCAAACATATTCTTCGAACATTATCGTGGCGTGTTGGCAGATAGTTCTATCATCATGTCCGCGTCCAACGCCCTGTCTTTTCAACGATGCATGAGCCGTGTGACTCTGCTTTATGCCTGCCACTTCACGATAGAACCTCACACTGTCCTGCCCGCTGGGCGGTTCCGCTTGCCCTCACAGAAATGAGTGGCGGCGAAGAAAGCAGCAGCCCGGGCCCCCACGGCGTCCATGGCGGGGCCATGGGTTCGGCGGACGAACGCTACGCGGACGCGGCCCTGGGTCTGGGCGCCGTTTCTTCGATCGAGACCCTTCTTCGAAACATCCAGGGACTCCTCAAAGTGGCCGCCGACAACGCCAGGCACCAAGACCGACAGATCAGCATCGAAAAGGGTCAGTGGACTTTGAAATCGTCGTTAACGAACTCGACCACGGGGATTTCGGTGCAGCAGTGTCCGTATACGGTACCTGAGGTCCGGGTTTGACCACCGCAAGAGAGAGAGTGGGGTATAGTCTGCCTCTGTCGGAGCGAGTGCGAAAATAGCTTTCGTAGAAGGTTCGCATGCTGATTCGAGCGAGGAACACGGTTCGTATGCTATGAAGCGTCATTCGCAGACCAAAAAGAAATCGAGAAAACGGTGCCTGGAACCCGTCTTCAACTGGTGTTCGTACCGCGACCAAAAAAGTGGCCCTTCGATTTCCGCCTGATGACGTCATACCAGTGTCAAGCTGTTGCCGGTCGCGATCCCAGCGGTGTCTCCGTAGCTGTGGTGGATGTAGCATACGCCTGTTCTGCTGTAGGTCGCTCTTTAGTGTGACAGTACACGGAAGCTTTGGTAGCCAGAAGTTGGGGAACCGCAATGCGAGCGACACTCGTGTTCGCTCGTGATTCTCATGTGCATTTACACCACCAACCGCCAAGATCGCGGCATCCTACAGCATGATACTATCCTGATCTTGTGACGTCATTTGTTGCCGGCTCAGGGCCACTTTTTTATGTATGGGCTGAATAACACGCGAAACACACAGGTCGGAGACGCACTCCAGGCATCATAACCGCACTTCGTCGGCTAACAAATTTTAAAAAAAATAAAAAATGGCCGTCTTTTACGAACCGAACGCCGCGGCGAAACCAGATCGGACGCAGGCTCAAATTTTTAACGTCGGTAATATTTTGCGCTGAGGGCAATTGACAATCCGGGTTTCTTTGCACAATTTCAAGCTTTTCTGGCGTCGTACGCAAGCTGACATTGACTGGTGGATGAAGGAGTATACTAAGGAAAAGCGCATCAGAGGCTATAAAACCTTTCTCGCTATCTGTATGTTCGAGAGCCGTTCTCACCGAATCATTGCCCGATCGTGAACTCGCGAAAGAGTAAAAAATGAGAATTGATAGATTGGGTGTAAGCTGTTTCTCCACGTACAATCAGCAACCGAGAATCGTCTCACCTTTTTCGAACTCGAACCCTTGGCGCGTGTGCAATCGAGAGCGTTGGTTCTCTTGTTACTGATCAAGCTATCAGCTGATGCATAAATTTCGATGAGAGTTGGTAAGGTAAACCGGAGGACGGCTTCAGTTAATTTGTTTTTATCTTTCGTGACCTCGTTTCTTCGGTCCTCCTGAACCTCGAAGAAAGGACTCAATTATTCGGTGTGAAGACAAGGTTTATATCGCGCATGTTTCTATTAAAAAAATATCAATATACAAATTAAGATATCGTTACTTCGTCCAAACTTAACGCAGGTACGCTACTAGTTTTAGTACAGCTCCTAAAATGGTAGGAGTTTTATAACTCGCGCTTTAGTTGCAACGCATTACGCACGCTTCTGGCGCGCCGCGTGCCAAATGCAGAGAGCGGAATGCTGAACCCGCAGAGAAATATCGACCTCGTCCTTTGTTTCACACAGCGATACACATCTCACTGGAGCTCGCTGTGCAGGTGAAATCTGCTATAGTACGGCCCTATAACTTGCGATGCTCAGTTTGAAGTGAGAAGCTAACCAGCGTGTGTGTGTGTGAACCCCAACGAAATACAAAGCTCCTGAGCTGGTTGCAAACACTAATTGAAGTTTTTTTTTTTCTTTTTTTTTCTCGCTTTTAGTTGTGTTTTTTTTAAAGTGATTTCATATTCAGGAGAGTTCGTATTTAACCGCACATAAGAAAAACTCCCTGAGGCCACCTCCTCCGACTTTTAACTTCCGTCAACGTCAATATTACGTCAACGTCAAAAAAAAAAAAAAAAAAAAAAACAGCGGCCACACAAAACGCTGTTTTCTTAGCTCCAATTTTCGCACGAGATACCGTCGCGCTGCCTCCAATATAAAACCCCTAATTTGCATATCGAATAAATACGGTCGGCGCACTTCGCTCACAGGAGAAGCGGAGTCTCCCTAATGACCGCGCACTCCGACCGAACATCAGGCAGCCACGTCGTCGTCGTGGCGACCGGGCTCTTAATTTTTTCGCACTTCCCACCTAGAGCCCAAAAGTCGAAAGATTTTGCCTTTACTCCAACTTTCCGTTCAGCCTCCCAAATGAACCTTAGCGCCCACAGCTCCTCCACGTATGCTTGTACGTTCAGCAGGTTGTGACGTAGAGCCAACTCGGCAGCTCATTGGTCAATCCGTTCGAAGAGCGGGGTTACGCGTCGTAGTCCGTGGCACCTCTATGGTTCGCGCTGGCTCCTAGCCTTTCCTCTGCTTCATCGTATAAGTTTGAAACGGGGCGCTTCACGCTTTGAAATTCGGTGGGAACTAAGTAAAAGCAAACAAATACATGCATACAGCAAAGAGGATCGTTTGCAGCTCGGTATATGGCTTGGCTTGGCTTGACATCTATACGAGCCGAGTTGGGATCAGGACCGAAAAGTGTCCCGGAAGTGACGCCGCCGAGCGCGAGTGGAGGGAGGGGGAATTTATGGACCCCGACGACGGCGGCTCCCTTTCCCGATGGAAACCGCCGCTGTCCTCGCGGTCTTCCGGAAATGAAATAGGCTTAGGTGGTCTTGGGCGTCCCGGACATGGCATCGCGGGACTGCTATTTGTCGCGACGTTTCCGGCGTCAATCTCCATTTTCCTCTTGAACGCTGGCGTTTCAAACTTTAACGTTATAACGTTTTTTTTGCTCTCTTTTTTTTTTTTTTTTTTTGTTTAGGACGGGGAAGCTGGACTGGTTTGTCTCTTATTATAGATATTGGGGGTGGACGAACGTCACAAAACTTACGACTTGATTTGTCTATGTCTAATGGCGAAAGTTCAACGTGTTTTGCTTTGCGATGGACAAACGGGGTCGTATAAATTCAGTTCTGCAGTTAAAGCGTAGAATAGTTTCATTTCTTGAAGCAAGGGGTTTCGTTAATCGAAACACAAGAAAGTAAGAAAAATAAAGCGAGAAACAAAGAAACAGAGAGAGAGAGAGAGGAATTACAAGACGCAAGTTTTCCAGGAACCCTAAAAACGACGCTGGACATTTCCTAACGTTAGGGTATCTGTACTATTTATTTGATTTATTTATTGATTTGTACATAATGCGACTCAATTGAGGCCATTGAAAGAGTGGACAACAGTAGTTTAATCAATCAATATTGAACAAAAAACAAAAGAATAAAAGACGTTTATGATTCTTTGTAATGCGAAATTAGAGCGCAGCTCTTGAGGATGAGGAGGGGAGGGTATGCCCCTTCTCCTCCTCCTCTTCCTTTCCTCCTCTCGCCTCCCATTGAGCGGAAAATTTTCGCTAAATTTCCCGGTTAATTTTTTGAAAAATTTTCCCACTAAATTTTATGGAGAAACCGTGACATTCCATTTTACAAAGCGCGCGGTTATGCCGACGCCGACACCGCTTAACCCTGGAACGGGCGCCTAAGAGCTGCGCTCTCAACGAAACTCTTGAATTATCGATTTAACAATCACACATCGTGGCAGTACCATTTTCCCTATTTCTTAAATAAAGTAATCGGGAAGAATGCGCGTAGATTCATCAACATTGTACCATAACGTTATAATGCGAGGAATAAAATAAGTTAAAAAACGATGGACATCAAATTGAAGTGGAAGAATGTTAAAAGATAAGACCGTCTGGTGCGAGTCAAATCTGTGAAATTAATGTAGTTCATGCACTGGATTCCACAATCTCTATTAACAGTTTTATGAAACATTTTCAGCCACCGCTCGACAGTCCGCCTTGAAGCCAAAGATTAAATTCTCAACACTAATACCGGACGAAGGTGAGACGTTTCGATCGTACCTATTGTAAAGAAACCTAAAGGCCTTTGCCTGGAATGAACCGAGAAGATTATTGCCTTTTTGAGATGTATTATTTCATTTTATTTCATTTTATTCACCTAAAAGGCGTTCGAAGAATGCGTTACATGAGGGGGGATCAAAAAACGGTAGGTAATAATTCTATCACGATTATTGAAACAGAAAATACTAATTAAACAGATATAGCAACTCGACCTATTTACATTCGCTGTTAGCAATATAATTCTCTGCACTTTTCTTTAAATGAAAGGGAATGGCTCCCAGACACCGTATTTAAATATTCCAAAATCGGCTGAATGAGAGTTTTAAAACCGGTCAATTTTTCCTGTTTAGGAGTATATTTCAATATACGTTTTATGTACCCTAGCTTCCTAAGGGCGCGAAAACAAATGAAGTTAACGTGCCTGTCCAATGTAAGGTTAGTCGTAAAAAAAAAACCTACGTAAGTATTTTAATTAAAACACTATATCATCAATGCCATAGTCAAACACCAAAGGCGATTATTTTTTTACTCGTAAACCTAATTAACACTTACGTATCCAAGTGTATCTCCATCATCCATTTTTTCCCTCCAGTTAAAGAGGCTCTCGAATCATTTATTAAGTAAGAGTTAATAAAAAAGAAAAAAGACATCCATGTACAGAACGCAATTGTCGACATAAAAACGAATTTTTAACGGGCACGTTTTCTACGCTGCCATTAACATAAAGAAGAAACGAGAGTGGTCCTATCACAGACCCCTGCAGTACACCAGATCCAACCGAAGACTCCGAAGAAGAAGCATTCCCAAACAAAATGAACCGTGACCTGTATTTGATATAATCTGTAAAACAGTCCATTAAAAACGCCTTTTTCAGTGTAACTATCAGTTACAAAAGTAGTTTAGAATGCGATATTTTATCGAATGTCTTCTATACTTCGTTTCAGCTTCGGTCCGAGCGCGGCCGATGTTATGAGCCGAAGGGCCAATCAAACACCGAAAGAGGCACAAAGTCATGACGTGCTCTTTACAGTTGATAGAACTAGCCGGTATTCGCCGTATCTCTGTGGGTGCGCCTCCGCCGGCTAGTCCTATCATGCGCAGAGAGCACGCCATGACGTTGCGCTGTTTGTGCTGTTTTATAGGACTT